TTATGTAAATCTGAAGGAACTAGTGGCCCTTTTGCCCCTAAAGATACTCACATGGTTCTGCAGGAAGGCCCTCTATGCTATTCCAGATTAGGTGCATTTTGTCTAGACTTTCTGGGAATCCAGATTAAGAACACTTTTCAGGCCTGGCTGGCATGGCTCAGTGGTTGGGTGTCACCCTATGAACCAAGTCACTGTTCAATTCCGGGTCACAGCACATGCCTGGGTTGCTTGTTCAATCCCCAGCCGGGGGCATGCACGAGGCAGCCAATCAGTGACGCTCTCATCATTGGTGTTTTTCTCTCTCCCTCTCTCTGAAATCAATAAAAACATATTTTTTAAAAAACCTTTTTCATAGAGAATATTACAGATTATCCTAGCTCTTCCCTTGGTATCTTCTGGTGGTATTTATTCTTTTGAAGAAGAAGATCAAATATGTACAGAAGTTATTTGGGGTCAGAGTGTTATTTTTTAAAAGGTAAAAAATTCACCTAATCCAAGCATTCTGTAGTATTCTAGACAGCTTATGTTGTGTATTAAATGGGGTTGCTTGGTTCCCTAAAAGTTATTTTCTCTTAATTGGTAGAATTAAAAGCTGAGGAAATTTTCCTTCTCTGACATTAATAGAAGGGATGGGAATCTAGAAGGTAAAAGTTCAGGTAGAAATAGTTCTTTTATCTGGGAGTGGAGCACTCGAGTAGACAAATAGCCAACCTTTAGTTAATTTTCATCTGGGTCAGCATTCCACTTTGACTAAAATAATGTAAACTATGTGTCTAATATAAACCACTGCCAGTTAATAGTTACATGGTAAATTATTATCTGTGGTACTTTCAAAGGGATAACTGCCGGCTTTCTTACACTATATGTATATAGTCAATATGTAAATATGTGTCTCTAAATACCTAACTATCCATGTAGCTTCTTTATTTTGTTCAAGCCTCTTTTAAAAGTCACTAAAAAGGCCTTTCCTGATCACTCTATACATAGCAACACCCCCCCCAATCTTCTTCACTCTCCTTTTCCTTCTTAATCTTTCTCTGTAAAACCTAGACACCAGACATAACTAATGTATATTGTTCCTTTTTCTCCCTTGCTCCCCACGAGAGAGTAAACTCCGCCTTTGTTCTGTCTACCTCTGTATTCCTGACACTAAGAATGTTCCCTCACTTTCAGTGGCTCTGCCACAAGCTGCTTTAGCCAGGTTACCTAAGATAATCAATACTAGTTTTTTACAAATATTAATTAGTTTGTGCATACTTCTTCACAGTTTAAATGAGTGTGAAGATGTACAGACATATCTTTCTCTCATCCTCATTTAACATATAGTCATCTTTTCTTACCTAAGGCCTAAATTTTGCCTTTGTCAGAGTCCTTACTGGAAATTGAATTTCTAGGTTTACCCATAATCAGCAAGCAACAATGTTGGTAACATTTTAATACAAGAGAAATACATTTGATTTTGTAACAGAAATACATGTGCATCAGGCAGAATATACACCCAGGGGACGGTAAAGTGGTTGCTTGGTACAGCAATGCTGTTCATCCCACAAGCCTGCTGAGTCTAAGGCAGAACTCCTTGACTAGTCTCCTAGCTTTGTCAATCTTTGAACCCATTGTGACTTTCAGCAACCCAACTATCCTCAACACTTGCCTGTTGGAGATTTTAAGACTGCAGAGTTAGTGGTTGTTAATCAAGATGTAATTCACACACCATAAAATTCACCTTAAACTGTAAAAGTCAATGGTTTTTACTATATTCACAAGATTGTCCCACTATCACCACTATTTAATTCCAGAACATTTTCATCAAAAAGAAACACCATACCCATAAGCAATCACTCTCTATTCCCTCCTTCCTTCCCCCAGGCCCTTGGCAACCACTAAACTGCCTTCTGTCTCTGGATTTGCCTATTCTGGATATTTTATGTAAATGGAATCATACAACATTTGGCCTTTTGTGTCTGGCTTCTTTCACTTAGCATAGATGTTTTCAAGTTTCATTCATGTTGTAGCATGTGTGAGAACTTGATTCCTTTTTATGACTGAATACTATTCCGTTGTATGGAATACTATATTTATTTACACACTCATCAACTGACAAGACATTTAGGTTGTTTCCACTTTGGGGCTATTAGGAATGACACTTCCATGAACATTTCTGTATAAGTTTTTGTGTGAGCATGTTTCATTTTTCGTGGTTATTTACCAAGGAGTGAAATTACTGGGTAATATGGAAACTCTAGTTAAACTTCTGAAGCACTACCAGGCTGTTTTTCGGAGTGCCTGCGCCATTTTACATTCTGGCCAGTGGTGTATGTATGAGGGTGCCAGCTTCTCCACATCCTCACTAACACTTGTTATTATCTGTCTTTTATTATAATCATTGTAGTGGGGCTGGTATCTCATTGTGTTTTTCATTTGCCTTTCACTAAGGGCCAGTGATTTTTAACATATTTTCATGTGCTTATGGGCCATTCATAGATCTTTGGAGAAATGTCTATTTGCCCATTTTCCTTTGCCTGTTTTCAATTAATTGTTCTTTTAATTATTGTTATAAGAGTTTTTTACATATTTCAGATACAAATCTCCTATCAGGGTTGCAAACTTTTTTTTTCATTCTGTGGGTTGTCTTTTTACTAGTTTGATGTTATCTTTAAAGCATAAAAGTTTTTAATTTTGATGAAGTCCCAATTTATCTCTTTTCTTTGGTTGCTTTGTGTTTTAGGTGTCATATCTAAGAGACCACTGCCTCATCCAAGAACATGAAGGTTTACACTTATGTTTTCTCCTAAGGGTTTTATACTTTTAGCTCTTAGATTTAGGTCTTTAACCTGTTTTAATTTTTGTATATGGTATAAGCAGAGGTTCATTTTCATTCTTATGTGTATATCTAGTCCCAGAACAATCTGTTGTAAAAACTATTCTTTCCCCCACTGAATTGTCTTGGCACTCTTGTTGACAATCAAAAGACCATAAATCTATGGGTTTAATTCTGGACTCCCAGTTCTTTTCCTTCAGTGTCTACCCTTATGCCAGTATCCATACCATCTTCATTACTGTGGCTTTTACAGTAAGTTTTGAAATCAGACGGTGTGAGTCATTTAACTTTGTGCCAAGATAATTTTGAAATTGAGTTTAACTGAGTCAAAGACAAGTAGATGAGGAACTGTTCTTCAGAACAAGTCTAAGCAGCCCCACACTAACCTAGTTCTCAGGAACAAATGACTCTCTAGACTTTATCCAGCCAGATTCACTTTATTCCTTCCTTCATTTATTCAGCAGTGATTTTAGGGAGTTTTTATAGCAACATAACTGAGCGATGCTCAAAATTTAACAATGTAAAGAAAAACCTAGTGTCTACGAGATAGTTTTGAAAATCATTTCATCTGAAGTGGGAGTGGTGATGGCAGGGATAACACTTTCAAGAAATGTTGGAGGTAGAATTTTTAGGACTTGCAATGGATAAGTAATGGTTGGTAAAGAAGAATAAGGGATTGGAGATACTTATGTTTCTAGCTTGGGAATAATGGGTAGATACAGTTAGGAGAGTAGATTGTGTTGGGCAGAGTAAAGATCAAGAAGTCCGACAAGGCTGGAGGAGAAAATGGTTATGAGAAGGTTGATTGTTTCTGTTTTGTTGGTTGTGTTTTAGGATGGGGGAAACTTGCTATCTGAGATAAATATTGAAGATGTGATGGGTAGTTTAGTTATCACTGTAGGTCCCAGAAGAAACAGAGCAAAGCCAGTTTTTCCCTCTAAGTAAGAGAGGTGATGATTCTTAATGGTCTATATTTTCCCTGCAGTTAAAGTTGGGAGGTGGGATAGGTTAGGGACTATGGAACTTAAGAGCATTGAAGGGTTGGAGTAGCCACTGAGAAATGTAGATTAAAATAACAAGGAAACAGAAAATAGGAATGAAAAAGACAGAGGATCAATTCAGGAAGTCCAGTAGCTAAACTAAATTTCAGTTCCTGAGCGAGCAGAGAAAATGTTGGCTGGTGGGGGGAGGGGGGGAGTATTGGTGAAATAATTCAAAAGCTCCCCATCAAGAAGCACAGTGTGAAGTTTCCAGATTGAAAGGACCCACGTGAGTATCCAGTACAGTAACATCAACACGAAGACATGAATGGCCACAGATTTGCAGAGAAGGAAAGCAGGTCTCAAAGAAAAGGGGTCAAGAATCAGAGTGGCTGCGGGTTTTGCAACAGCAGCACCAGACTCAGAACAGCTGAGCAGCACCTCCCAGTTTCTGATAAAAAATTACTTTCAGCCTCTAATTCTATATGCAGCCAGATTATCAATTAACTCTGAGGACAGAAAAAAGATGTTCAGACATTCAGAGTACAAAAAGTGAGGGAATTTAGCCAAGAAAGAGGAAAGAGTAGTAAAAACAAATGGGATGGGGCTGCTTCTCTCATCGCAGGTCTTGTAGTACTAGTTAACTGAGACTTTGAGACATTAAAAACTTTGAATAGGCCACAATGTGAATGTATTTAATACCACTGAACTGTACATTTTAAGATTATTAACATGGTATATCCATTTACCACAAGTAAAAAAAAATTTTTAATGGAAGATAGAAATAGCCCACACAATTCTTAAAGTTTAGCTATGACAGGTTGATAAAGGACAATTGTCAAGGAGTGGCATGGAGAGTAGTATATAATCTTTGTATTGTCCCATTGGAAAGTCTATTAAATTTTGAGTCAGAGAATCTAAAGGTGTTATCTAAGGTGTCTTATGTACATGCACACAAGTAACTTGGCTGCTATGGCCTGGGCCTAACGGGGATGGATGGCTTTAAGTTCTTTCCTGGATATTTCTAGGGCCTTTGTGTTTACTGTTCCATCTAGGGCAGTTCTCCCAAATCCTTATATGAGAAAAGCAGCTTTAATGACAAATTAGTATTTTACCATTAAAATATTTTGACCAGTGGCCTATGAACAAATGTTTAATTCTGAAAAATAAATGTAGCCTAAACATATCTCATTCTCTTGCAGTGTGTGAACTTCTTGCCTAAGAACTGGGAAGGCTAACTAGTTTGAAAATGGAAAACCAAGAACCAGTGGATTCTTCTCGAAAAACCAAACAGTTTATTATTTCAGAGGAGGTATAAACTGTTTTTCACTTCCCTTTCCCCTCCCCACATAAAACTAATTTGCAAAGAAACATAGACTATTTGTTGTTTCAAATTATTGTTTTTAATTCTTAAAGACAGTTTTTAAACATTATTCCTGCTCCCTTAATAGGACTCTGGGACATTGTGCTCTTGTGTGGGAGCAGTAGTGTATCCCTCTTAATTATATGTATTAGTGAAATTGAGATTATTTTAAAAGTGGATTTTGGGTGTTGGTACAAAAATTCTTAATTTTTACTAAAAGTTTCCCTGGGTAGAACAATAAATCATATGTGAGTTTTAGGGCTTAGACATTTCATACTTAGGTATCACACCTTAATTAGCCATTTATGGTCTCAATATGTATAACAATAAAAACCTAACTTTTTAGTTGTAGTCTAAATTCCAGAACAAATGTATGTCTTGTTTGCTACTCAGTTTAGCTTTTAAAGTCTCTTCCTATAAGAACTGTTGCATTGGATAAATTTTAAATCCTTCATCTTGGAACTCTGATCTTGACACCTTTCTGCAATTCTTTTTGATTTAAAAATCTCTCCATGTGGTCTGGGACTTGTGTGGTCTGGTGAATCCCCATACCACCAAGGCAGTGATCTGGTCCCACCCAGTCTGGTGGGCGACCCGTGGGGTGGTAGCGTGGTGCACCGCTCCCCGCAGGCCCTGAGGAGGCCGAAGTTAGGTCCAGGGAGGAACCTGGATGCCCCAGCGGGGTGGCAGAGATGTGCTTCATAAATGGGCAGGGGTTGGGGGAGAGTCACCTGGTGGCCCAGGAGGCCTATGAGGGGCCTCTTGTAAAGGCCTGACCAGGAGGCGAAGGCTGCAGGCATGAGGAGCTGTGACTGATGAAAATTAAAGGCCGTGGATGAAGATGGACTTGAATTACAACCACAAGAGCCAAACTCATTTTTTGATGCAAGTGTTTCAGGACACTTCCCATACATTTCCCATTTGATCATCACAACAGTCCTGTGAGGAGCTGATGCTGCATACATGGACGGTGATCCACTTGTCACGAAGTACCAGAAACTCTTTTTGTTTCAGATATTGATTCAGACATAACTGTGCCTTTGTTCCTGATGACCCAGACTCAGTTGTAATCCAAGATGTTACTGGGGATATTGTTATAGATGATGTTCAGTGCCCAGGTATCATGGAAGAAGCAGATGTATTTGAAAGGGTCATCATTCCTGAGCAAGTGCTAGACTCAGATGTAACTGAAGAAGTTTCTTTAGGACATTACACAGTCCCAGAGGGTGTTTTGCTTTTTGTTGTTTATATATATCTTTATTGATTTCAAAGAGAGGAAGGGAGAGGGAGAGGTAGAAACATCAATGATGAGAGTCACTGATTGGCTGCCTCCTGCATACTCCCTGCTGGGGATCGAGCCCAAAATCCAGGCAGGTACCCTGACCGGGAATCAAACCTTGATCTGGATCCTAGGTCAATGTCAACCGCTGAGCTACACCCAGCTGGGCCAGAACATGTCCTAACAAGTGAATCTATACATGTGTCTGTATAGACACATTGAACCTATGTGGTTCATGATAGTGTGGTAGAGGCAGAAATCACTGATCCTCTGACAACTGATGTAGTTTCAGAAGTGCTGGTAGCAGAGTGTGCCTCTGAAGCAGTCATAGATGGCAATGGGATCCCTGTGGACCAGCAAGATGGTAACATGAGGAACTGTGAGGGATACCTTATGATTTCCTTAGATGATGCTGGCAAAATAGAACGCGACACTCTGGAGTGACCTTGGGCACAGAGTTGGAAATCAATCCTTGTAAAGTGGATGGCACTTGCCCTGAAGTCATCGAGGTGTACATTTTTTTTAAATCCTCACCCAAGGATATTTTTTCCATTGCTATTCAGAGAGAGTGCAAGTGGGGGGAGAGAAACATCAATTGGTTGCCTCCCACATGCGCCCCGACCAGGGCCGGGGATTGAGCCTGCATCTGAGGTATGTGCCCATGACCAGAATCAAACCCGGGACCCTTCAATCCTCGGGCTGATGCTCTAACCACTGAGCAAAACCGGCTAGGGCAGGGTGTACATTTTTAAAGCTGACTTTGGAGAGGATGACTTAGGTGGCACCATAGACATTATGAAGAGTGAACCTAAGAATGACTATGGGGTTGAACCACTTGATCAGAATAGCAATATTCGTGTGCCAACGGAAAAGATGGCTTATATGACTGTCAATGATTCTCAGCAAGAAGATGAAGATTTAAATGTTGCCGAAATTGCTGACGAAGTTGATTATGAAAGTGATTGTAGGATAAGAGGATGCTGCTGCAGCAGTGGCAGCAGCCACCGCACACAAGCAAGAAATTAATGACAAATCAAAATCTTCATGCCAATATTGTGGGCAGCAGCTTATGGTAATAATTCTGATGGAACTGAAAAACAGAATGGCACTGCAAGTGCCTTCTTGCACATATATGAGTCTGCTGGGCTTGGCAGACTGGCTAAACAAAGAAGGAGAAGACCTGATTCCAGGCAGTACCAAATAGCAATAATAATTGGCCTTGATGGACATCCTTTCACTCTCTGTCCTTATATGATTTGTGGGAAAAAGTTTAAGTCAAGAGGTTTTTTTGAAAAGGCACACGAAAATCATCCTGAACACCTTGTCAAATAGTACCACTGTACTGATGGCGATTACACTACCAAGAAGATAAGTTTATAGAACCACCGGGAGGGCCACAAGCTGACCAGCAAGACAGAAAGCCATCAAATGCAATGAATGTGGGGAGCATTTCACACTGGCGCTTTGTTTACTCACAAAATGATGCAAAAGGAAAGAGGAGCCAACAAAATGTGGTCCTTAGCAAGAACTTTCCTTATATTTGCATGGAGAGCTCAAACAGCACATGCAAATTCATACTGGGGAGAAGCCATATCAATGCCAGAACTACAAATATAAGTCTGTGCACTCATAACTTGAAAACCCATGTAAAAACTAAGCATAGGAGAGAGAGACCACTCAAGTGTGACATTTATCTTCAGACTTTCTCAGATACTGAAGAGGTGCAGCAACATGCTTATTCACCAAGAAGGCAAAACACACCAGTGTCTGCATTGTGACCACAAGAGTTTGAACTCAAGTAATTTTAAACAACACACAATTTCAGTTCACACAGAGGACTACCCCTGTAAGTGTGACGTGTAATAAAGGCTTTCATAGGCATTCAGAACTCAAGAAACACGTGGCTGCCCACAAGGTTAAAAAAATGCACCAGTGCAGACACTGTGACTTTAAGATTTGGGATCCATTTGTTCTAAGCCGCCACATTCTCTTGGTTCACACAAAAGATCTTCCATTTAGGCGTAAGAGATGTAGAAAGTGATTTAGGCAAGAGAATGAGCTTTAAAAGCATATGAAGACACACAGTGGCAGGAAATGATCTGTGGAAGTACTGGGAGTATAGCACTACAAAATGTCTCAGGCTTTAAACAGCCAAGTTATTTCCATTCATGTGAAAGACTACCCTAACCCTTGTGAGTACTGCAAGAAAGGGTTCCTAAGACTTTCAGAAAAGAACCAGCACACAGCCCTGGCTGGTGTAGCTCAGTTGGTTGAGCGTCATCCCATGCACCAAGGGGTCACCGGTTCGATTCCTGGTTCAGGGTACATGTGTGGGTTGCGGGCCCAATCCACGGTAGGCAGTGTGCAGGAGGCAGCTGATAGATATATCTCTCACATCAATGTTTCTCTCTCTCCCTGTCACTTCCTCTCTACATTTAAAAATAAATAAATTAAAAACACAGTTAAAAAAAAACAACAGCACACAATGCACGGCATCATAAAAGTGGGCCTGCCCCAACAATACTCCTGCAGACGTTTGTGGAGATGTTGGCCTTGACACAGGAAATTCATTTTATAGCCAATCAGTCTTGTTCACATACAATAGTGCATATTGGTTTATGCTGTGTATAAATAGAATATTGCTTCCAGTTCACTTTTTTTTTTACACTTTGTTCAGTAGTGTGTTATGAAATCTGTTCAGTTTGTTTAATCAATGGGGAAAAGCAGCCAAAAGCAAGTTGCTTTTGATGAAGTAAACCTTGCTTCTGTACTGAAATTTTCTATCCCAACACTTTTATATTTATTTAAATATTTACCTTGCTTACCTTGATGGTACTCTTCTAAGACCATTTAACGTAAAGTTAGGGTGCCCAGCCGGGCGTGGCTCAGCAGTTGAGCATCGACCTAGGATCCAGGCTATCGGGGTTCGATTCCCGGTCAGGGCACATGCCCGGGTTGCGGGCTGCAGCCGATCAGTGACTCTCTCATCATTGATGTTTCTGTCTCTCTCTCCCTCTCCTTTCCTCTCTCTGAAATCAATAAAGATATATTAAAAAAAATTAAAATTAAAAAAATAACATAAATTTAGGGTAACTTTAGATTGAGTCAACATGATTACTTTCAGAGTAACCTTTTTTTTTTTTTAATTTATCTTTATTGTTGAGGGTATTACAGGTGCCCCATTTTTTCCCCCCAATTGACCGCCTCCACTTCGCTCCCACCCCCTCCCCCGGCCTTCACTCCGTTATTGACTGTGTCCACGGGTTATGCGTATATATATATGCATATAACATCCTTGGTTAATCTCTTCCCACCCTCCGCTCCCCTTCCCTCTTTCCTCTGAAATATGATCGTCTGTTGCCTGCGTCAGTGACTCTGGATCTATTTAGTTCGTCAGATTCTTTTGTTCATTAGCTCCTTAAGACCCTTCAACTTTTCCTGTAGTGCTGGTCTGGTGGTGATGAACTCCTTTAGCTTTTCTTATCTGTGAAGCTCTTTATCTGACCTTCAGTTCTAAATGATAGCTTTGCTGGGTAGAGTAATCTTGGTTGTCTTTCCATGTTTTTCATCACTTTGAATATTTCTTGCCACTCCCTTCTGGCTTGCAAGGTTTCTGTTGAGAAGTCAGCTGACAGTCATATGGGTGCTCCCTTGTAGGCAACTAACTGCTTTTCTCTTGCTGCTTTTAAAATTCTTTGTCTTTAACCTTTGGCATTTTAATTATGATGTGTTTTGGTGTGGGCCTCTTTGGGTTCCTCTTGTTTGGGACCCTCTGTGCTTCCTGGACTTGTAAGTCTATTTCTTTCCCCAGGTAGGGGAAGTTTCCTGTCACTATTTTTTCAAATAGGTTTTCAATTTCTTGGTCTCTTTTTTCCCCTTCTGGGACCCCAATAATACGAATGTTGGGCCTCTTGAAGTTGTCCCAGAGGCTCCTTATACTATCTTCATATTTCTGGATTCTTTTTTCTTTTTGCTCTTCTGGTTGGGTGCTTTTTGTTTCCTCATGTTCCAAATTGCTGATTTGATTCTCAGTGTCCTGTACTCTAATGTTGATTCCCTGTAAATTATTCTTCATTTCAGTTTGTCTAGCCTTCATTTCAAATTGGTACTTTATTATGTTATCGATTTTCTCAGTTATTTTCCTAGTAGTATGCTTAAACATCCTTATGAACAAAATTCTGAACTCTGTTTCTGTTAGCTTGCTTGGATCTATTTCATTTAGTTCCTCCTCTAGAGATTTCTTCTGTTCTTCCTTTGTGACATGTTTCTTTGCCTCCACATTTTGGCTGCTTCCAGGTGTTTGTTTCTATGAATAAGGTAGAGCTGCTATGTCTCCTGGAATTTGTAGAGTGGCTTTGTGTAGTAGGTGTCCTGTAGGGTCCAATGGCTCAGCCTCCCCAGTCACCTGAGCTGGGCCTTCTAGGTGCTCCCCTGTGTGGGCTGTGTGCACTGTCCTGTTGTAGTTGAGCCTTGGTTGCTGTTGGCGTCACTGGGAGGAATTGACCCCCAGGCCCCTTGGCTGTGAGGACCAGCTGCAACTACAGCCAAAGAACTGCTGTGCTGGAGACATCCCAGTCTTGGTCCCTCTTCAGTTCCCTGGTTGTAGGACTCCTGTTCAGCCTGATTTCAGGAGGCTCTGAGTGATGGTGGTTCTGTATTTAGTTGTAATTTTGATGTGGTTGCGGGAGGCGGCACCTACGCTGCCATCTTGATTTGTCTCTCCAGAGTAACCATTTTTCCCCTCCAGTAAATTTCTCACAATAAAATTGTCAGACATCTGCTAACATAGTGGGAGATTTAACAGTTAGGTCTAATTATGCTAACATGGAAGTCATTTACTTGTCTTACTTATTAATCTTTTCAGACCACATGACAGTGAAAGTTTCTATTTGAGCTTTTACATCCCTGGCATTGATGAGTAAAGAACAGTGGCTGGGCCCTAGCCAGTTTGGCTCAGTGGTTAGAGTGTCAGCCTACAGAGTGAAGGGTCCTGAGTTCAATTCCATGTGTCTCTCTCACATTGATGTCTCTCTATCTCTGTCTCTCTCCCTTCCACTTTCTCTGAAAAGCGGTGGAAAAAATATCCTTGGGTGAGGATTAAAAAAAAAAAAATTTTAAACTACAGTGGCTGGGTTTGTGTTTACTTTTCATTTTGTTTAGTGGATGAAATATACGTTTGGAGGGCTTTCTTTGGAGTATTTACATCTTTTGCCAGCATAGAAAATTTGACTGAAAAATTTTGCTTGATCCTGTTGTATTTTGATTATTAAGTCTGTGCTGCTTTGTCTTGGAATGGTTGTGTGCTACAAATGAGACTTACTGAGGATTGTCATTTGGAATCTCCTAGAGGTAATTTGTGGCTTATAGGATCTTTTGCAACTTTATATGTGTAAATATACCCTGAATTATGTACATACACATATATATAACATGTATCTGTGTGTATTGCTTATTTTACATCTTTATACACACAACCCCAAGTAGTAGTAGTTTAAAATCTACAATGAAAAGTATTAAATTTTCGCCCAGCCGGGCATGGCTCAGTGGTTGAGCATCGATCTAGGATCCAGGAGATCGGGGTTCGATTCCTGGTCAGGGCACATTCCTGGGTTGCAGGCTGCAGCTGATCAATGACTCTCTCATTATTGGTGTTTCTCTCTCTCTCTTCCTCTCCCTTCCTCTCTCTGAAATCAATAAAGATATTTTTTTTAAAAAAAAAAAAGAAAAGTATTAAATTTTAGTAACATGAAAGATGCAGGGGTGTATGAGAGCATTTTGTAAATGATGCTCTTCAGAGAGACCACTCAGGTGAAGAATTAGAAGGACAATAAGGACACTGGTATTTTTAATGAGTAAAAGTATTTTCTTTTAAGTATCTTTGGTACTTGAAAAATAGAAGTTATTTCTAGATAGAATGTTTTCATACAACTTGAGCTCCATGCCTTTACATTATTCTGAAAAGCTAAGGTGTATCAGACAGACCTTCCTCATTCTCTCTGAGGAGCCCGAGAGAACTGTGTCACCAAGCGAGGTAGGCTAAGGAAGCTACAGCTCCACACACCAGATATCAGGTGCTAATTACAATTTACACTTGGGAAGTTCAGCCTACTCTGTTATTTCTTAGCTATAGTTAGGAAACTTTCAAAAACTAGCTTTGATAAGAACATAAGATAAAGGTATGTTTTAAGTGCAGAGGAGAATCTTGAGGCCTTACTTGGAATATCACCAAGTCTTTCACCATTTTGTTTTTCTTTGAGAACTGACTTTTTTTAAACATACAGTTCTACCTCAGTCATAAATTCATAAAAAGGGCTCAGTTCATTAGCATTTATGTTAAAATAAGTTTTGGAGAACAGAAGACAGTTTGGGGGTGCTTCAGTTGGCTGTCAGCACATGAGTACCTGGCATGTCATGGGTTTAGGACTTTTCTTCCCACTCGATAGCTCCCTGGCCACTAGATTACAGTGCTCCATCCACTTTGTGCTTCTAGGGTTTTACCTTTCATCTTTCTCTTTGCCATTGATATCTGTATTCAAGTGTTTATAGGGTGAGATTGAAATATTTGGTGTTTGGCAAGCCTTTGAAGTGCTGAATTGATTTAGTCCAGTTCTAAATCAAGTACTTTAAGCTGGCATGAACTCCAACCTGAATGCCAGTCAAAACCAAAGCATGGCCCTGCCAGTGTGGCTCAGTGGTTTAGCGTCGACCTGTGAACCAGGAGGTCACTGCTCGATTCCCTGTCCAGCCACATGCCCAGGTTTCAGGCTCAATCCCCAGCAGGGAGCACACAGGAAGCAACTGATCAATGACTCTCTCATCACTGATTTTTCTCTCTCTGCTTCCCTTCCCCTCTGAAATCAGTAAGAATATATTTTTAGAAAAAGAAAAAACAAAGCATGAGCCTGTCCCAGTGGGAGTTCCTGTGCCCTCTTGGCCTCCATAACATGCTTTTTTAATTTTAATTTTAAAAAAAAGTTAAAATTGTTTGATTCATTTTATTCTTGAAAGGTCTATGTTTTTTCATGAGAACCTTTAAAATCTCCCTTATTTTTTAATTTCTCCCAAAGGTAATGCAAAACACATTTAAAAGTGGAAATTTATTAATTTTAAAGCATCTTGTAAAATTAATACAGAAAATATAATTGGTCATCTACATATTTTTAAATATACTGAAAGATAAAGAAGACAGCATTTTACATACTTTATATTTCTCTTACATAGTCTGGAATCATACAGTTCTTTTTAAAGCATAATATTGAAACCTTTAAAAGGTATTTAAGGGTTTGGTCAAGTGAATATGATAAAATGTATAAAGAGAAAAATGAAATTGTAGTCACTGTTATATACTGGCATTGGTTACAACCTATTTTAATTCTTAAAAAAATTTTGATTAAGCAAAGCTAAAAAAAAATGGGTGTTTCAGTTAAATATTTTAAAGAGATACAGATTTTTATAAGGACATAATATAAGTTATTCTGTAGAACTATCCTATTACATATTGTATGTCCCTCCCCCTGTATACTTTATTTAAAAAGTATAATACATAAAAAGAAAATCATATAGGGATGTGTGACATTATTGTAATTGTGTATTTGAGAATAACGTGCAACATTCAGGCTATTTTCCTGTTAAAAAAATAAATCTATAAAATAAAACTTTCTCCATGTTATTTGTGAATAGACCTGCTGGTAATTGGTAGGTTGCTTCTGGTAAGAAGTGAAAGGCAGGCCAAGCTGTCCTAGGGGCTCGGTTGGTTGAGTGTCATCCTGTATACCAAATAGGTTTCTCTCTGTCTCTCTCTCTTTCCCCCTTCTCTCTAAAATCAATACACATATTCTTGGGTGAGGATTAAAGGAAAAAGTGAAAGACAGGATAGTCAGAAGCATCTACTGCTTTATGTACACAGCGACACTTTCCTGTTAGTACAGTACAATGCCATGGGTAAGTTAGTCCTGGGAACCTAAACTCCTCAGTGTCTAGGCAGAATGGTGCTGAGGGCGCCACTCAGACTGGGTGGGAAACTCATGTGTCATTAGAAATCCAGTCATTGGACATGGTTTCCCCACAGTCAACTTTGTCGTGTAGTCACTGAAAGTAAAATGCCGCTGATATGTTCACATACTAAACACACATACCTATGTGACTAGCACCCAGATCAGAGACCAGAATATAAGGCACATCCTAGAGAACCCCTCACTCCTTTTTGCTCCCTTCCAGTCTTCCCTCCCTCCTACCCCCAAGAGTTTTCGACTGTCATTTCTTTTCACCTCTCAGTAATACCTCCAAAACTCCAAATAGAAGCAGAACCACCTTTCAGGAAAACAATGTTTAATACTCTCAACTGGAAACTTGCACAAAAATTATTAGAAGGAAAATGTAATAATTGGGAGGGCCATACAGAGAAAATGTGAAAAGAAAAAAACTCTTCTAATAAAATACAACTCAGTTTGAAAGCTTCCCAATTTATCTATCATTTCATCTCCTTTTAGTTAATTGCAGAAGGAAAATGGGTCAAGTTTGAAAAAACAACTTACATGGATCCTACTGGTAAAACAAGGTAAACTATATATTTTTCTTTTATAAAATGCTCAGTATTGGGAGTTCTCAAATTCTCTATTTAGTGTTTGGCATAAACTTTGGTATTTTCCTCATTATAAACTCTATCTTAAATAATCTAATTTAGCTATTTTCCCATTGTTAGAATAAAATTATATTGTACATTTGTTACAACTAGTGAGGAAGCTATTTTAACACCATTCTCCCCAAGTAGATTAGTATGAACTTAAACTTTTGGGACAAGCCTAATTTAAGCTGATAAAGCAGCAAAACAGTTAACAATACAGGTTCCTTCCTTCTAATTAAACCAATTCTAATCTCTAAATTAGAATTAAAGAGGAAACACTGTGTTTGAGGTAAAAGTTACATGCTTAAACCTTGTTCATAGAAATGTAAATTGGAAAAAAACGTTCTGTAAAGCATTTCACAATATGTACCAATTGCCATAAAAATATGGTTGGGAGCAGAGCTGTCTGGAGCCAGGTCACTGTGGAATCTAAGAGTGTGCTAAGAAAATTATTTGGAATCAAATTTATGCCTGAAAAATGTTCATCAATATTTTTTAAAAAGTTGAAAGCAACCTAAACATTCTAAAAATAGGGGAATAATTGTTTTAGTGTATTCATAAAATCTATGCATCTATTCACAAAGCAGATTATGAAGACAACCCAGCAAATGAGAAAAATTAGTAAATTGATAACAAAATAGGAAATTGTATATATGCTTTTTAAACTCTGCCAAATAATGTGTAAGAAACGCTGGAGCTCTGGCAGGTGTGGCTCAGCTGGTCGGGTGTCCTCCCTTACATGGAGAGGTCGCCAGTTCAATTCCAGGTCAGGGCAAATGAGTTGAGGGCTCCATCCCCAGTAGGGGGTGTGCAGGAGGCAGCTAGTCTGTGTTCCACTCTCACACTGATGTTTCTCTCTCTGCTCTCCCTCTCTCTCTAAAAATCTTTAAAAAAATAAAAAGGCCAGAAGGAAAACTAGAAAAATATTAATGGCAGCTGTATGATTAACCTTTTTTTCTTTTTCAGATTTTCTGTTTAGTAATTTTTTATAAGTATCAGAAAAAAATGTATTAAAATAGATTAAGCATTTACTTTGTGAAATGTAAAAATAAAACAGAATGAGAAAATACAAAAATTAACTAAATTCAGTATATAGATTATATGATATAAATTAATATAAAAATTCCATTTAAGTCCTGGCCGGCAGGGCTCAGTTGGTTAGGCATCAGCCCGTGCACTGAAAAGTTGCTGGTTTGATTCCCAGTCAGGGACGTGCTCAGGTAGGGGGTGTAGAGGAGGCAGCTGATCAATGTTCTGCTCTCTCTCTTCCTCTCCCTCTTTCTCTAAAAATCAATAATTTTTTTTTAACTCCACTTAAGTGATCAAATAAGAATACAGTTTCTTTGTGAGGAAATACATCTATCATCAGCGCAAAAGTACATGGACTTGCCAGTAATTTAAACAATTTTTTATTATATCTATTAAACTAACAAAAATATTAATAAGGCCCAATGTTGGAGAGCTGTGTGAAACATTAAGAAATACACAGCACTGTTAAAACCCAAAAGAAAACTAAGCACACTACAATCCAACAACACAGTTGAAGAGTATATTACCTATTATTTGAAGTAAGTTTGATGTATAGAACTAAATATGAACGAAGTAGGGGATTCAGAAATATGGGAAGGCCTAAACCTTAAGGAGCACAGTATGTTCCAATGTACTTATATCTGTGAAACTATAGACAGATTAGAACCCAATTTACAGTGATACCATTTGGTTCTCTTCCCTATAAAGTTGTTTAAGTTTGTAACACCCAATAAAACCCTTAACACTAGTCAGTCATGTGTTGGTTTGCACCAGCTCATCTCTTCACCTCACTCTTCCTCCCTTCCAGCATCATAATTGGGGATGTGTAGCAGAATCATTCGGGGATTATTTTCAAAATACTCATTAGGTCTCAGTGACTACAGAGAGTCTGCTTCAGTAGTTTGGGAGCCGGCTCTAAAGTCTACCCAACTGCCACACTTACATTGCCTACGGACAGCATGTTCACCTTCAGTCTTCCTCACACAGGTCTTCCTTGTGGCCTCCAAAGAGGCTTTCCATGAAGCACTGACATTTCATACAGAATGTGAAGCTCAGGAGAATGAAGCTCTGCATTTTGCAGCAGGCCACAATTTATAAATTTAGAAAATGTTTTATCTATTACCTAACATAAAAGCATGTACATGAGGATAAAAGTAGCAGCTAGAGAATCCTTTGTTTCACTGTCTTATTCATGGAAGAGGCTATGGCATGAATTTTAGAAATGTAAAAGTATACTGGCATTATGCCCTTTTACAGAAGTCTTCCTCTTGTGGCCCTTCCAACCTTTTGTATTGGTTGATGAGGGAAGAAAGCAAAATGGGCTTTCCTATAACAGACTAAAAACTGGAGTAACTTTAACTAGAATCAGAATTCTAAAGCTACAAGAGGCCTGTGAAATAACATGCTCTTAATTTCATAGTTTTACAAATGAGAAAACAGTCTCAAGAAGGTCATGGCTATGGGTTAGCTAGTAGGTAAGTGGAGACTAAGATTTTCTGACTCAACGCAATGTCCATCTCTGAGAGTCCCTTTAAGAGATTAGAGCTTTCATGGGGCATTCTTGTTCTAGTGTTTCTTATAGCTGCATTTATATTTTATTGCTCATAGTTGATGGCTCATTACTGCTTATTTATATCATCTTAACCACTATAATGATGCTACTCTTTCTCCCTTATTCCTAGTGTATCTGGGATGGGACCTTCAGTGCTTTTTCCAGCACTGTCTTCTTCAGTCTTTAGGACTAACCTTAAGACGCAGCAGAGAGAGCTATCCCAAAAGGTGTTTTGTCTCTTGCAATCTGTATTACTGACTTATCAGAATTGCTTGTTGGTTGGCTTCTTGCTACTAACAGGAATGTTGGGCAGCTCTGAGTTGTCATAGTAGTCTGATTTTCATAGGTTAATTTGACATATTTGCTGTGTAGAATTTGAGTACAATACTGAAAGATCCACAGTTTATAGAAAGGTGTGTTTTTTAAAGCTAGATTAAATATCTGAATTTTTTCAAAACAGAAATGTGGTAAGATCCAAATCTCATACCAGATAAATAGTATGAGGGTTTCTCCAAGTAACACATCTTATACTCAGTTACTGTAGGGAGACAATGTTGTTGCCTTTCTTATGCCAATCCCCAGAGCCACTCAGATGTCTTCTCTTAGATCCAAAGTCATTTCCTTCTTCACTCCCATCTCTTACCACTGCTTTTTTCTATTTAAGGAATGAGAGTGAAGGGGGAATTTCTCTCATATGCCCTTCTCCCTGCAAACAACATGATTGTTCCAATAACCGGATTTTCACTACAGTGTTCCTCTGAAACAAATAGCTAATCAGGAATAAAGCCATAAACAGGAACAGGAGCCTGCTGTTACCTCATTTTCCCCTCCAATAAGATGTCACACACGCACAACAGAGCACTCTCCTAAATTTAAGAATTCTTCAGTTAATAAATGGAAAGGTCCTGCTTTCTTAAATTGTGCATTTTAGATCACACATTTTAAAATATAAGTTGCATAAATAACCAGCTCATTAGTTCTCATTATGCAGAGTACCTTTTTTTTCATAAGGGCTTATTGTGCACACGCTGCTTAACAGCTTTGAAAGCTGTCGTCACCAGCTGCGCTGCTCCCCTGTAGATTTATGATCCAAACTAAAGTATTTTGAGCATTGCTTTGAAAGGCAGCTCAAGTGACAGCACCCAGAAGCTAAATGTCTGGTGGCAGGTTCTCTTTAGTAATTTTCAGAAGTTGTAAGATAGCACAATTGGCTTTTAAAAAAGTACATATCTTTATTGCTGTGGTCTTGTTGACCAGTTGTACACTTGCATGCTTTGCATTTGTCAAGTTCTTGCTATATACACAACACCTAAGAACATTCTCCTCTTTAGCGCTAATGATTTTTTTTTTCTTCTCTGCCTAAACAGAACTTGGGAAACTGTGAAACGTACAACCAGGAAAGGACAGTCAGCTGATGGTATGAGTGCACACCTACTGTAACTCTTCCTACCACACATTACTGCAGTAGGCTAGGTTCAAGAGGGTTTGTTTTGTTTTTCTTTTCTTTTTTTACTGTCACCAAGATCTCAGGGTAGTTATCTTCAATTACGATCTTTTATCTTTAAATCTAGTATTACTTTTTGCAATGCTGTGTTAACTATATCAAGCTTTTTTTATAAATAACTTCTGGCTCTTGTTATCTAAGCTCCAAACAGTGTTTTTGAGGGGAAGATGTACTAATATTTATAACCAGACACAAGTCAGTCAATTTTGAAGTTACATACTGTGTCTAGATATGTTATGACTCGTAGAAATCCTTTGTATTCTGTTCAAAGGCTCTGGGTGACAACCTTTAGTTTGGAAAACTTATTTGCACTGCTTCACACTCTCAACCATGTGGTTTAGAATTGATGAGGAAATGGAATTAGGAAATGACTATTCATTCTATTCATGTTCCCTTCCAAGAGTGAAAAGTTTGACTGCAAAGGTCTCAGAAACAATCCTGACACTCACCTCTGGTCTAGGGGAAGTTGGAGAATACATCTTTTTTGTTTTTCCCTTTTATTTTTCCATTCTGTTCTGTTTTTTACTTGAAGCAAACAGAGTAGCCTCACAGTGCTGTTTCTCCCTGCTGGGAAAGTGGCGGGGGAGTACTCCTCTTGGGCAGTTCGTGTTTTCTAGAACCCAGTGGGGTTTTGTTTTTGTTTTAAGGCCAAGTAACTCACTTGATTTATAAATAATATGGAAGTGTGATTACTTTTTCTTTAATTACATTTGTTTAATCCTCACCCAAGATGTTTCTCATTGACTCTAGATAGGAAGGAAGAGGGAGACAGAGGAACATCAATGTGAAAGAGAAACATCTATCAGTTGCCTCACACACACTTCCCAACTAGGGATTGAACCCATAACCTGGGTATGTGCCCTGACCAGAAATCAAACCCGTGACCCTTTGGTGGGTGGAACGATGCTCTCACCACTGAGCAACACTGGCCAGGGCGACTCTTTAATTACATTTTTAAGTGAGAATAACTTCCAAGTTAACTGCCAGTACTGTAGCTTTTCACTCCCTATTGCTAATGGCAAAGATAAGGTAAATTTCAGATGCAGCATTTTTTAAAATATGGGATTTTAGTTAGATTGCTATAAACAGATTGCTGGCATGACTGACCTTTCATTAGACTTCTTTGTTTTATTTCTTGGTGACAGGTGTGACAATTATCCCAGTGCTGCAAAGAACTCTTCATTATGAATGTATCGTTCTGGTCAAACAGTTCCGCCCACCCATGGGAAGCTACTGCCTGGAATTCCCTGCCGGTGAGTCACTAAACACAGGGAACAGAACTGCTTCTTGAGACCTGTTGGACTGAGCCAGGGTGGAGCCTCAATACTGCAGGGTTTAGACATTTAACAACTTTCTACCTGTCCATGTGCTTTTAAGTTCAACAAAACCATTTCTGTAGTGAAGCACCACCTCCAGCCACTCTCCTGGTCCAGTCACCCATAGAGGCGATGGAAGGCATGGTGTCACAGCTCACCTTTCCAAGCCACCTGCCCTCCTCGTTCCCACATCCTTTCTAGCCTCTTAGTAATTGCTTTTCACTAATTTGTCTATTTACTTCATCTTCTATCACTAGCGATCTGCCTCTGACAAGAAATTTACAGTAATAACTAGGCCAGACTCCAAAAACTATAAATGGAAAAGATATCTTGACCCTTCTATATGTATATAGGCCAAGTAAATTACCTTAATTTCCACTAAAATATTTTTTTCAGTTGCACAATAAGCTATCTGGAACTCACGCAGTGTATTATAGGACTTAATTGGGTTGTTCCATCAGAAGAGATTAGACCTCATTTATCATTAGTGGTTTAATGTTTATATTTTTAAACACCATCCCATACTGTAATGTATAATTAACAGCTTTATTTTCTTTCTCACTTACTTGCCATTTCACTGCAGAAATTAATAGAGTAGCCTGTATCTCACCTTTCTTTTTGCAATTTTTATTCCTTTCAGGAAAATGACTCAGAGTTGCTACTATCCTCCTCCCACTTAACCTCTCTCTTATTCCTCAAAGTGACCATGGTAGTTACCTAAAGCCCACCAGCCTTCAGTTCTGTCCTTTCTGTTCTTCTCCCTCAGAAGTGATCTTCTCGGCATTTCACTACAGGGTCTCAGTATTGTTCTGTGAGGGAGGAAGGCAAGATAGAGAACAACTGTCCCCATCTTACATAAGAGGAAACAAAAAAAGTAACAGTCTTCTTTTGTGCTGTAGTCACATAGTTAGGTCCAAAACCTGGACCGGTCAGCCACCACCAAGCCACTTGTCCTCACAGAGCAATGCTGTCTATGCTGGGGAACATTAGTGCTGAGATGCTCATGGCAACAACTAGGTCTCAGTAAGAGAACAGATGAGGGCTGTGAGAACCAACTTAATCTGCCTCGGGTTTCATGCTTTTGCCCTCTTTTTTTCTATGAAAGTTCCAAACCTCAGTTTTTATCTGTAAGACTTATTTTTACAATCCTCTGATTCTTGTAACATAGGTCAGCAGAAGCTGTTAGGAGAGGTTAAAATAAAATTGGATTTCCCTCTCCCATCTCACAGATGATTTGGACTTTCAGGTCTCATAGATGACAACGAAAGCCCAGAAGCAGCTGCTCTGCGAGAGCTGGAGGAAGAAACTGGCTATAAAGGTGATGTTGCTGAATGTTCTCCAGGTTTGTATTGCTTTCCAGGTGTGGTGTGTACTTGGGGACAAACTTCTGAAAATTAGCCATGCAGTAGACCCTTCTGTGTATACAAGGATTGATTCTTTGGGTGTTCTTTATGGCCAGAATTCAGATGGCTTTTATTTTGTCGGCTAATTCACTGAAGAGAAATCATAATTTGAGTACCATCTACATGTGAACTTCCCTTCCCCTCCAAATGAAAGCAAGTTTGAACAGGAAGGACCTAAAGCTGGAAAAGAATTAGGAAATTGTGTTGCCTTCCAGAGTTTCTCACATTCCGAACTTTATTACATACGCACCTTATCTGTCTGCCATGCTCCTCTAGAGATTTTTTTTCTTGATGTAGTGAAAAGATTTACAACGTGTCAGTAGCACCATCTAACCCCTTAGACTTACCAAACTTTATTGAGGAACTCTGGGGAAAATATGAATACTAACTACTTATATGCTCTGCAGTCTTACAGCATATACTAAGTGACTAAAATAAATTAGTTTTCCTGCATAAATTCTTTGTTAAAGGAATTATGAGACCAGTCTTCTTCCTAGGACATTTAAGTCATGAAACATGACAGCTGACTGGTGTCTGTAAAGATGACATGTTGCTTCTCTCCATAGCTATATGTATGGATCCAGGTTTGTCAAATTGTACCACACACATTGTGACAGTAACTATTAATGGAGATGAGGCTGAAAATGTAAGACCTAAGCCAAAGCCAGGTAAGTGAGCATTGGCTATGTTGAAGGTAGATTAATTGCATTAAATACCTGTAAACTTCTAGTTACCAGATTGATTTTTGATTGGTCAAAAGAATAATCGTCTTTTGTAGATGTTTCATTAGTACTCTTGTCTATTTTCATAATCTTGTGTGTTTTCACATTTTTCTTTTTACCCCTTCTTTGATTTTTATGGTTTCTTTATGTAAGATGTTAAATTACACATTTCCATATTTCCGTATGAAGTTTATTCTCACTTAGTAATATTAGCTATAGGACTAAGTAGTAAATAATGAAAATCATCAAAATCACTGATTTCTGTCTTCATATTTATTGGAATGGCATAAGTAATTGTTACAGGACAGCGGCTTATTAACTCTTCTTGAGTTTCGTTATTTAGGAAAGCTTTTAATAAATTCTTTGCTCTGTGTCTCTTAAGTAAGTTTGGAATTAGAAGCTTTAATGCTTCTGTCAGTTCCATCTCCTCACCACCCCCTTAAAAGAAGTATTGATTCAAGAAATCATGAATGAGAGCTATAGTCTTTCATTTGTCATCCTCTAGTTGTTCCTAAATGTTTTGGTATCTCATTGCAGCTAATTTTCAATGCTCAATTTTTAAACTTGCAAAAACACATATAAATGCTGTGGAAAGAGTGTGGTACTTCCTCAGAGAGTTAAACATAGAAACACCACATGACCTGGCAATTACACTCCTAGGTATATACCCAATTATACTCCTAGGAATTGAAAGCAGGGGCTCAAACAAATAACTTGTACACAACCAATGTTCATACAGGTTTCACAGTATCCAAAAGGTGGAAACAATCCAAGTGTCCATTAACAGATAAATGAACAAAATGTGGTACATTCGTATAGTGGAATAACATTCAGCCATAAAAGAATAAAACATGCTGATACATGCTATAGCTTGGACAAACCTTGGTAAACATTGTGCTAAGTGAAAGAAACCAGACTAGAAGGGCAAATATTGTGATTTCACTAATATGAGATACCTAAAAGTCAGAATTCATAGAGACAGAAAACAAAGTAGAGGTCAACAAGGACGGGGAAGTTAGTGTTTCATGGGTACCAAGTTTCCGCCTGGGATGATAAAAAAGTTCTAGAGATGGATAGTACTGATGTTTGCACAACAGTGTGAATCTATTTAATGCGACTATATTATACCTTTAAAACTGGTTAAAATGGTAAATTTTGTGACCCAGGTTTCTGTTAAATTCTTCTGGCCTTTTTATTTTTAAAGACCTACAGATTTGAGTTAGCACTCATGCAGAGTGTGTAGAGAAGTGAGGTTTAAAAAAGGTGGAAGGCCTAGGCCTGTGTGCTCAGTGGATAGAGCGTCGGGGTTGCAGCTTCAATCCCCAGCCAGGGTGCATGTGAGAGGCAACCAATCCACGTGTCTCTCATCAATATTTCTCACTCAAAAAATTAATGAAAAAAATATTCTCAGATGAGGATTGACAACAGCAAAAAAAAAGTGGAAGTGGGATGGGTAAGGTTTCCAGCACCTTAAGCAATTAGAAAATATCCCCCCCCTCCCTAAAGTTGACAGGCACC